GCATCGACCGGCCTGCTCTAGAAAAGAAGAACAAAAACCTCGTTTTTCCACTTTACTTACCAGAAAAAATGCAAGCCGCTCAACTACCTCCAGCATGAAAGCACTGGGGTTCGACGCGACCCCGGGCGACGTCTACAATTGCGGCGGTCCCCGGCTGGTGGAGAAACTTGCAACGATAGACCATGAGATGTAGTGCCAAGGACAAGTATCTCAGGATTTTGAAGATAATCGTCCACTTAAACGCATTCTAGAAATCGCAGTACGTCTGCCTGCGAAAGCTCTAAAGTGGGCTCCAGGGTAAAAAACGAAATATGCATGTTCCTTTGCTAGATCAGCGAGCCGCCAACTAACATACTATCCCCGTTCGCAACAGACGAAAATAAGGGGCCCGTGGCTCAATGATAGTGTTACACTCCATGACCAAAGGGTCGCGGATTCGAACCTTGGGCGATCCAAACCCGGGATTGGGTATGACTGGCTGATGACAGCTTATAAGCCAGTAATAACCTTCCGGTGTCCCTTGTCTTTATCGGTTCCACTACAACAAGCATCTATCTCGATATGGAGGAAGAAAACCGGCAACTCAGCGATCACCGAAGAAGAATCTTGCTGCTCAAAATTTCCGGGACGATGTTCATATGCATTATTCTCAATCACCCTACCAGCCACCTAGAAGAGGGATCCCTCCGGGAATGCCTGTGGGACCTTAGACAACACCGCGGAACCATCGGCATGAGCTTTTTCATCCGTCGGCTGCAAGAGGAATGCCAGGAGATACGGTCTCAACTCTACAGTACATTCGTGGACCTGATGAAAGCCTTTGATACCGTGAATCGCGATTTTTAAAAAAGGTGTGGACACCATTAATTTCTAAAATAACGCATGTTCAGGTCTCATTTTACATCCTGGATACTTGCAGCAGACGCTCCACGTCATGAAACGTCAACCAAAATTCGGAACTGTGTTTTCGACTCAAACAACCTAGTTAATCAGGTTATAATACTGATTATCGTACAGTCTAATTTCAAGATATTTCAGTCACGTCTGGCTGCCAGATTTTGTAGAAAGTTTTTTTTTGCACGCCAGCAAAATGGCTGCTTGAGCATTATGCACTCTTCTTACTGACCTTTGATGCCCTATTACATTCAAATATTTTTTTATAGAAAACGAGCACAAAATGTTCTTTCTTGTACTCATTTAGTGGCTATTTCCGTTTTCTTCAACTCGTGTACTTGAAGGAAAAGTTATCCCTCGATTAAAAAAGTTTCTAATTATGAGATTTTCCAGGTCGTAAAAGGTCTATTCGCAATGCGTCGTGTCTGTTCATTTATTAATGCTGTTTATAAAGTATACAATATGGTTTACATCCAATGCAACATTTATGAGTACCATGTGACCTCTTTGAATAGATGAAATGTATCCGTGTGTAGTTTGGAAACCCTGAATGTAGTTATAACGGCAAGTCGGCGATTACAAAGGTTTTCTAAGAACCGGAAGGTGCCCTTCCTCGAAGCAAAAAACTTAAATAATATGTGTAAGTTTGACCACCGTAATCGGTGGTGTCCACCATTTGCCCGAGAGCAGGGACGGCGAGTGTGGCCAGGTATAGTGAAAGTAGACGAGCCACCATCTACCCCACTCTAGACCCTCATCCGCTTTAACCGGTGACAAGAAAAAGTCGAGATGAGCACGTAATCTAGTGATCATGCTTTTTAAGCCCAGTAGATAGTATACTATAAGTACTGCCTGTGTGTGCTTTTAAAGGAATCGCATCCAGTATGCACTCCCAATCTGTGTGAGGTAATAGCGATTAGCATTTGGATAATTAAAGAGCGTTTGTAAAGTAATGTACAAGTCCTACCATGCAGTTATGTCATGCAGTTTGCCGTCTATAGGCTACCTATATGCCTACTACAGTATCCATCTGTAGCTTAGACTTTACAGAACGTCTGCTTATATCCCCTTGATCCCAGCAGGGAGTGTGACTGTGGGTTAAAGCTATTCCGATTAAATACCCACCTTCAGCAGCTGTCAAGCCAAAGTTCTGGAAACCAAGACTGGTACTGCTACTGATATTTTTAATATTACTATCTAGGGGGTGCAGCTGAGTGATAGTACTGCTGGTACTTTTTCTGGCTGTATTATTAGTCAGAAAGTGACGCTGATTAAAGTCAGCACTGGGCTCATATCCCCACAGTCTCAACAAGAGGCGTAGTAGTATTGGTGCTAGCTCTGACGCTACCATTTGTCAGATGTCAGACCATCATATTTCTAGATAGGTGTGCTACAAGTACGATAATAGAGGACAACAGTGTTGCTGAGACTGTAATAGGCTAAAAAAGCTATGAATAGGCTTTGAGGACTAGACTACACTATCAAAGCCAAGCAAATCTAAACTAAGAGACTCGACTGCATAAATTAGGAGGTACAGTTGTGACTAAACTGAGTAATGAAGTTACAGCTGGTTAGATTCTAAGGTAAGCTAGATTAGAATTATGTGTAGCTAATAAAGCAATTTTACTGCTGTGGTTAGAAAAACTAGGCTACAATCAAAGAATTAAAAATAAATGAGCTTACGCGCGTCCTAAACTTTCATCCGGGCTGATTCGTAAGCCACCCGAAGAGAATCCACGTCTGTGAGGCAGACACGACTGTCATCGTATAGTGTGCTATCGAACGAGTATAAGAAAGAATAGTGTTGTACATGTTTCAACAAAATATAGTTGAATCTACAAGGGCATCGAAACACAAAAGGAAAATAAATACTATCTAAGTAGGCATTTTTAAAGCATAAGGTTTTTTTAGGCAGCCGTGAAAACCCTCGTTCAAAAGTCGGCATCTTGCCATGACGGGAATATCTTGGGATCATACCGCACGGAAATGAATATAAAGACCCTGATCACTTAGTAATTCCGAATCGAAAGCACACTTGAGATTTCCAGTTAAAATTTCATGAGATGGCGAATCTACGGTGTATAATCGGGAAAGCAACCGCATTAACGCATTAGCCGTTTTTATTTCTAGTCCATCAAGTTTCGACAATATTTTTAATGCGGCCGCGTGCTCTGTTGCCGTTCGGGGCGGAGTCCAGCTTTTGGACAGATTGGCCATTAGCGGCCACACGTGCATAGCCTGACTCAGTCGAGCAGATGGGCGTAATCCCATGAACTTACACTATCATTCATCGCAGAAGGCGCCTTCAATTATTTTCAAAAAGGAGAAAAAACTATCTAACGATGTGGCGACGGGTCTGGCGTAATCTGAACAAACCAGCCACCCTCCTCCCCCCCACGCACACACGGAATCACATTGGCATTTGATAAGTACAGGAGATTTTCTCGTTAGCAGTAATCTTGATCATTTGCAGACGTGTTCGTAAGGTCAATGTTTTATGTAGGACATACTTTTTATCATCGCATGCACGTGAAAAGAAGTACACTTCCGACTGAAACCTGACGCACCGTACAGCGTTTTCTAGAGGAACTTCATCAGTTTTTGTGAAAGAGCTAGGAAGTACGTAGGCATCATTTTTTATAGGGCATTTAACGTCGGGCCGGGATTACGTCTAGGGGTCCATCGGCAGGACGTGGGAATATGAACGCCCACCAGTAATGCAGTAGGCATTTCGCCAGATTCCAGAGGAGAAAAATAATCCTGGGTCTCACCTCCAGCCCTAAACTGAGTGCCAACTTCTAATTTCCCCTCTTATCTCTCACGACTGTTTGCACGTACGCACCAGTGTCTGCCAACCCCGATTCGGTCTGGCCAATCATATACCTAAGACTGACTCATGCATGACCTCGCGAGGGCGCTGGGACGAATTCCACACTTTCACCCTTACGCCGCCGACCCTCGCGGCTGCGGAGGCACGCTCTTCTGGCTGCCACATCCTTCCAACCTATTCTTCTCTAGCTCTGTACAGAATACGTTATTTTTCCTACCTGGGGTCTCATTTCTTCTCTTCCGCACACATCCAGGCAAGCGTCTTCCCTGCGATACCACCTGTATTACAGGTGATCCCTGTTCCCATGTCTTCCCGGGAAGGGGGACATATGAACGGTCAGCATCAAAGGCTGTGGGTGTAGGATACGAAGTAGTCCGGCCGGATAATAGAAGATGAACGTATCCCAATGGTTATAAACTAGTTAATAAGATAAGGTGCGGAAGGCCAGAGTGTTATGGATAATTTAATTAAGGGTAGAAGGAGTAGAATGCGAGTAATTGGGGAGTGACCCCCGGACGAGTGCAGTCCAGCCACAAGCTGGCCGAGTTCAGAGTCAGTTTCCGGCGGGTGTAGTCGCCGGGTCCGGATATCCGCAACCAGTGGTGAGGTCGCCAATTCCGGAAGTTTCTGACCGTAAGCGATCCCCGCAATAAGGTTCTTTGTGGACCAGCCTTGGAACGTAATTGGCAAGTTAGGACACACAGAGGATGACCTTGACCGGAGGTTTGACGCCTGCCCTAGCCTCGTGCGAGGAAAGCATGACTTAGAATAGGAGGTCGCTAG